AAATTAATTAAATGGGTCTTATATTAATGACCGGAGGAGTAATATAAAGTGATTTTACGTGTTATGTAAAGTACGTACCTTGACATTGGAATTCTGGCTTTTGATGGAAGAAACGTGGGAGGGATTAAGATTCTGAGTGTCCCAGAAAACGTTGAATTTGCCGTTGGTTGGAGAAGGAGAAGAGGAGGTATCATAGTCAATAACGAAAGAGAGAATGAAGTGAAACTCCACATTTGGGTTGATAGGGACATCGGAGAATTTGACATTGTTGAACTCAGCTCCTATGTATTCTCGAAAGATGCTTGTGGGGGAAGCTTGAGTTGATGCAATGAGGAAGAAGAAGAAAGCCTGAAGGAAGAAAAACTTAGAAACCTCCATGTCTTTTAATTAATGGAAGACACTGTGAGATTTCAGAATTAAACCGCTGGTATAGTACGAGTAAATGGCACAGTGGATATGTACTATATATAGATATTTTCAACTTAAAAAACGACTAATATAATAGTCAAATGATGGATTCCACAACCATTTGCTGTGTCTACGTTGAATTTTCTTTTGTTCTTTTTTTGGGGGGGGGGGGGGAACAGACAAAATTATTGACATTCATCAATCAAGTGCCGTCTCGGTGCATCTATTTGAGGATGTATGTTTGGTATGTTTCTTTCTTTGCGATCATTCAAATATTTTATATAAAATTTTTGTACTTCTTGATATAAATATATAATTTTTTTAATAAATGAATTATATTCATATTTTCACCTTATCGTTGAACATCAGATTGGGTGCTCATTATCATTAGCTTATGGGTTTAAGGTCAAACAGGTAGAATTGATTTGGCTGAAACGGCAATGCTTGGGCGTTTAATGTTTGGCAGGCACATTATACAATACAAAGCATAGATTTTGAACAAGAATGATGATTTGGATGAGTATTATTATAAACCCTTCAGATTTGACTAAAAAGATGGGCTACCTTGTAGGTTAAACAAAATTAACCTTAACCCAAGGTTATGTGAACCCAGCCCAGTCAATTTTTTTTTGTTAAGTGGGCCATTCACCAAGTTAGGCCCTGATTTCTATCGCTTCAAAGTGGCAATGTTGTTTTTCTTTTTCCTTTTCCTTTTTGTATATTTTTGGTAATTCCTTTTTATGTTCCTAACCTATGAGGTGGATGAATAGATGATGATAGTAGAGAGAACAACAAATATAATGTCAAAATAACTTAAATAAATGCAAGTAAACAAGTAAAACAAAAAACCAACAGAAAGCAATTAATATTTCATTATTAGTGACATAAATATCTCTTCTCATGCAGTGATTATACTACTCTCTTCTCATCTTTTTCTCATATCATCATTTATGTCATTGCTAGTATTTCTTTCTCTTATTTTCTCCCTTGTTAGATAAGAACATACTTAAAAATAAAAGTTCAATTTTATATATCTATTGCTTTTAAATAATTTTAATTATTTTCTTAGACTGCACGATTTAGTTAAAGGGATCTCATAAGAAAGAAAGGAGGGAGTATTGGTTAATTATATACATGTTTCTGGAAGCCGGATGGGCAAAGTAATTAGATTACACTTGATCATGTATGTCTCTAGATCTAGTACTTTGAGTGGCATACAAGCAAAATAAAGTGAGTGTGTATAATAACGAACATATTCCCCTAGACAAAGTAACTAGATCACTTGTAATTTATAGCTTCTAGACTGAAACACACTTTGCTGCACACTGTTACTTGCTTATAACCAGCTAATTAGAATCAGACAGGCGCCAAAATTAAAGTGAGAATGAATATCATCTTTTTGAATAGTTTCCCACTTTATTGCACCTACATATATGTGTGTACCCTTTAACTCCACTTCTCTGCTAAGCGTCTTTTCTTGCTTCAGATAGGGGCAGAATCCAAGCTTGCTTGCAAACTTGAACTGCAAATTTGTGAGGTTTCGATATAATACTCAAAAGTTATTTTGGGTATATTGATGATAATGCAGTAATGGATTCAACAAGAGATCAGTCCCTGAGATTCAGACTCAGCATTGCAATTCTATGTTTCTTCCTTGTCGCTTCCTCTATTGTCCTTCTTTGTGGTAAGTTTCACTGCGGTGCCAGTTTCGTCTTTTTTCAAAAAAAATTTGATGGGTTGTTATGCGTTCATTATATGATTTTGTTTGTTTAATTCCTGCATTTTTTAATTTCTGCGGGATCTAAAACTTTGTAATTGCTCTTGCACTCTATTGGTTTGCTCTTATTACGTGTATCTTTAAAATTAAGAACTTATATTCTCTCAAGTCAGTAGCAAGAGAAAAGTAGAAAGAAGATATCAGATTTTTTTCAAGAAAAATATATATATATATATATATAGGAAAAAAAGGAACGTATTGCATTAAAATTTCCCTTTTAAGAAAACCAAGTTTTCCATTTCTCTTAATATTCTTAAATTAACATAGATGTTCAGCATGCAAGCTCACTTCTTGAACTCCATGCAACGTACAGAACCTAGTTTTAGTTTAGTTCACGTCAATGAAGTTTATTTAGTGTTAATAAGCCTATAACAGCTTCTCTCTTCTTCATTCCTATGAAACTCTTGTCTTGATTCGCAGATACAAGAAGCCATGGTCAGATATTCTTAAACATCAAATTAAACCATAGAATCTCCTCCTCCAGCAAGCCATGGAAGAATCTGAAATCTCTCAAACACTTCTTAGACCCCAGAGACATTAACTCCCCATTATTCAGCTTTTCAAACTTTGATGATTCCTATGGCTCTCCTTCTTCTTCTTCTTCTGTATCACTACCTCCGTCCAGTTCACAGGCTCCTCAGCCAACCTCGTCTTCTTCTTCTCCATACTCTCCGGTGCTCACACCTCCAAGTCTCCCTGAATATTCCCCCATCTCGCACCCTCCTCCTCATGAGCATCACCCACCTCCCCCTCCCCAAAACTCTCAAAGCCCAAGCCCACATTCAAAGCACGGCCCAAGCCCACCAAAGACTCGCCCAAGCCCACCAATGGCTTATTCGCCTCCTAATGGTTACACACCTCCGCCGTCGGGCACAACCACATCGACTCCTCCCCCACCGCATAATAAAAAGCCGCAGTCTTCGGGTCACTGGTGTGTTGCGAAGCCTACTGTTCCTGACGCGATAATCAAACAGGCCATGGATTATGCGTGTGGGTCAGGTGCGGATTGCAAGGAGATTCAGCCTAATGGGCCGTGCTATGAGCCCAATTCGATGCTGGCCCATGCTTCGTATGCCTTCAACAGTTATTGGCAGAACAGGAAAGCGTCCGGAGGCACTTGTGATTTTGGAGGCACTGCTATGCTTGTCACCGTTGATCCGAGTAAGTGTTTTTTTTAAAAAAATTAAAAATTTGTTTATTTTTGGTAATATGTCATATCAATTATATATTTATTTATTTTAAATCAATAATGACGAGATGTTATCAAAATATCTAATATCTAATAATGATTCACATGGATGTTCATTGGTGCAGGTTTTGGGAAATGCCACTTCATGATGAACTAGCTACCTCAAGGCTTTTAGTCTTTTACAATGAAACTTGGTGGGACTTAAATAAATAAAATTCCAATTTATTATTTGCCCACACACATATCAATATATGTTGAGATTTTTTCATGTAACTTTCCATTTTGTTGCTGTACGTACATGCGCTGCTCTGTAATGCCCCTTGGAGTATTGATGGCTTTCCCCACTTTGCCCTTTTACTTTTTAGAGAATACTTTTTCTCCCCTTTCATATGGGTATTTTGCTATATTTCGTTTATGAGAAAATATTTCCAGAGATATAATTATCATGACTATAATACTCTCCCGGTCCTAAATATAAGACCCTTATACACACTTATATAAAGGTCTTATATTTAGAACAAGAAGAGTACTGTCTTTATTTATCTACCGTAGAACCAACAATGTTGCTGAATAAAGTAAAAAGAATTTACAGTTATGAAGCCAGAAGGGAAAAAAATTTACAACTCTAATTTCGCGAAATCTACGTTAAAAAGCCTTTTTCTTTCTTTGGTGTTTTCTGCTTTGTTCATTAATATATTTTAATTAGATATTGACTATTTAAAAAATTGATAAACATGTAAAATAACAACAAAGATATATAAAAACTTTTATTTAAAAGATAATAAAATTAATTTTAAAAATAATTACATTAAGATATGGGCAAATATCAGTGATAAGCATTGCCAAGCAAGACCAAGCACTAAAGAAGCAGCCAGAAAATGTATCAGTTACTGGCAATTGTCCTTAATTCTTTACCCAACTCACGCAGTTCATTTGCAGGGTGGGGGTATGAGAATAAGTGAAAACTTCAATAATTTTGCCCCTTCACTTTTCCGACTAAACAGTTCTTTAAACTCAGCAGCCTCTGATATATACAAAATCTCTAGCTATTGACGCAGGAAAGAGTCTTCCAGCTTGTTGCACCTCTTCAACACTAATTTTTTCAGCTTCCAGAAGCATCCTGATACTTTGGTATTGGGTTCATTATTCTGTTGTTCTCCCTTCTCTTCAACAAGTTCCTCCAATTCCTCACAGTCACTAATGCTCAAGAAACCTTACTCTGGTAGGCTATCATGGATGGGCAATCCAAAGGAAACAGAGACTTCAACTTTCCAAATAATCTCACCGTTAAACTTTTGAAGGTATTGAGGGTTCAACATTTTTCTGGGAATAGGACCTGGCCATAGCTCATGCCCAGAGTCCAGCTTAACCTCTTCTAAGTTCGGGAGGAGATCATACCGAATTTGTCAATTTGGGACAACCCAACCAATTGGGCAATTTTCCCCCCAATAAAACTGGGCGATTAAAAACTACTTTTTTCCTTTAATTTTCTAGAAATAATAAACAAAACACTTTCCTTAAAATCTTAACAAGCTTGTATTACTTACCTTCAAGTGAAAACTCTAAAAAAATTAGTCAGCGGCATAATTTGTATTTACAATATTAAAAAAAAAAAAAAAACAACAACTAACATGAAAGCTTTAGGTCTATCTGAGTTTGTTCTTCTTCTTCCACTTCCTCTACCTCTTCAGCAGAAACTTCTCCCTCTTTCTCTACAACTTCTTCAATATCAGTTTCAGTTTCTTCATCCTCCTCTACCTCTTCAACAGAAACCTCTCCTTCAACATCAGATTCTTCATCCACCACCACCTCATCATCATAATCATCATCATCATCTTCTTCTTCACTGTAAAAAATTTAGAATACTTGAAGCCAAAATCCAGCAGAGCATATAAGCTTCAATATGAAATCTTAGAACACATCGACTAATAAAACAAGAAAACAGTTGCATAATTGCTTCCGGAAGTTCATTTTTAAATTTCTCAGTTTGATGATTTCTAAACAGAATTGCTCTTCACTACTGCAAGATATTTTACCTAAGGACTAAAGTTTAAAATACGTGAAGTCAGAATCAAGTAGGGCATGCAAACTTCATGATGATCCACGTATTCCTTCAAACCAAATGCAGCTTGACACTGTAAAAGGTGCGCATTTAAAATGGCAGTTACCCGAATAAACCTTGAATAGTGAAGCTTTATATTTTCTTAGCTTGGAGTAATATTGATGAAATCCAAGAGAGAAGCAAAGTGAACTTTGGTTCCAGAACATTCCTTACAATTTCTAACAAAGAAAACGTCATACCCTCAATTTCTCTAAATATATACTCCTATAATCTGATGTTTTCTCTCCCAGTTTTCGGTCACAGGTGTGATTCCAAAAGCTGCAGGCTTCTACTTCTTTCATATGTACAAAATCTCGAGGTTTCATGTTAAACATACATGCATATGCTCCAACTATCCATTTCTTCAAGCGCCTGAGCCCTATCTTATTGGCATTTCGCATGTAGAATTCATTTTCCTTATCTAGCTGCTAATTTTGGCTGAACTTGACTCGACATTCTGGGAAGTCTCAGGTCAAGAACAAAATGAAAAGAAATAAAGAACAAAGGAAAGAGAGAAATATACCTGTTTAGAGAGTCTATCTCTTCCCTGGCCAGTGAATTCATTCTAATGTAGCCAGCTCCACAATCTACAACAGATCGTCACCAATAAAATTATCAAAAAAAAAAAAAGATGCAGCTTGATTAAATCTTAAAAACACAGAACCAAAAATCTTAAAAACACAGAACCAATGTCCAATAGTAAAAGGAACTAGAGGTTCGAAGGGGGGTACGCGATAGGAAATAACAATACATGGCAAATAGTCATTCATAGTCATGTGAATTATTTTATTAGAAAACAAACCAAGAAAAAAAATTACTCCTCCAATCCTTAACAGAGGACCTAATTGAAAAGTTGATATTGGTTCTAAATGTAAGACCTGATTTACATGTTTATCAATTTTTTCTCAAATGAACTTGGTAGGACAGTAGAAGGGGGAAGAGTTTTTAGAGAGAAAAGAAAAGAAGGTAGGGAAAGGGGAAAGGAGAATCTAGAACCAGCATCTGTAATTCTAGATGAGAGGGATAGCTTTCTGAATAATACTTCATATATTCCTCATAGTCCTTAAATGATAGGCTTATATAGTCAGCCTCCAAGTCAGCAACAACTACCAGATAACTCCTAAAAACTGAATAATAGTAAAAAGACATAACTGCATATAACTCCTACATATGGCATAATAGATAACTAACATAAAAACTACCTTTTGACCCCACTTTTCTTCCTAGAATAAAGCAGCTATGGACGCTGGTTCCTAACATTAACCCTGTTGATATTTCTCCAACAATAATCAAGTCGGAGAGAAAAGGAGGAAATTAAAGAAGATACTTAGGATGTTTTAACAAAAACATGCTCCTCCGGTAGTCCTTAATACAGTAGCTAATTAGGAAGTTGATGTTAGTCCTAAATATAAGACCTATTTCACATGTTTATCAATTTGTTTTCCAAATTAACCCTATTTATATTTTCCCAATAATAATCAAGTAGGACAGGAAGGAAGGGAATTAAGAAAGATACTTAGGATGTTTTAATGTTACCATTGAATCTTAGTTCCCTCACATTTAAAAACCGTACAAGTCCAAATAATTTAAGTTCTTTCCAATTGCCAAAATGGGGACAAAGCCCTCAAGAATGAGTATAAATGCCAATTAACGGCTCTGTAAATTATTGCATGCTAAAAAGTAATTAGATTAATGTGTAAAGTAGTAAATAACGTACAATCATATTCGTCCTTCTCGAGAAGCAGTCGCATCGTTAGCTCCCGAGCTTTAATCTCCTCCTCTTTATACTGCAAGAATGTCATACAAGTTACAATAGCTAACAATCAGCGTTCTCTTCTCCAAAAACAACTAACACTCTTTCAGTTACACAATTATTTGCAATTTATTATTATTTTTTTAAAAAAATTCTTAACTTTGTCATGCTCCTTTGAGAGATTCAGGGGGAAAATTTTACCTCATACGCTTGCTTCCATTTGAACGGAATATTGTTGTCTCTCATTTTCTCAATCACTCCATCGGTGTTACCAAAGCGCGCCTCATAAAATGTCCTCCACAATTTATCCGTTACCGAACTCAAATCTATTCCCTGCGAAACCTTATCAAAATAAACAATTCAATATTGTTGTTCCCAATCATAACTAGACTCCTCACATTTATTTAATAAGTCAATCTTACTTTAGTAGCCCCTTCCACATACTTTAACTGGTCCACAGAGCAGAGAGGCAACATCAAGTCGAGAAGATACTCGTCGATTTCACCAACATTTGCCAGACTCCATACATTATCGATCCATTTCTTGACACAGAGATCAACCAGTGATGGCACCATCTTTCTCCGAAAAATTTTCCCTGATATTCTCCAGTCACGCTCGCCCTTATCAATAATCATGATATAGCATTAACTACCAAAAAAACCTATTTATACGTAAAGTAGCGGAGACCATAACTAAGACCAACTAGTAACTCGGTTCACTAGGATTCCAAGCCAGCCCCATCATATTTAAAACCAACAGTACGGAAAAATATAAATACTGACATAAGAAAATCGCCAAGAATGAATGTTCTTCCACCTTTTTGCCGAAATCTCGGCTGCGAATGAAGAAATTAGCGGAAACCAGAGATTCCGAAAATCTTGAGAAAAGCAATTTCCAGCGATCGATCATAATGAGAAATAATTTCATCAAAGTTATCTTTCATAAACGCTGAATGCATTCAAGAAGGATAGATGATGAGCCAACCGCCTCTAGGCGGAGTGGCACCTAGTGTGTGCGTGTGTTGGTAATGTGCGGGTTCGATCCCGCCCCTCATGTAACCAAAAAAAAAAAAGGATAGATGATGAGGTGAGACTAGGAGCCGTATAATGACTGGAAGGAAGACGAAGATTTATACTTACAGAGTGGAATTTCTCAGAATCTCTATTAAGGAACGATCAGGGCACTGAGGAAGCCAGCGAAAGAAGCATGCAGTATATGGCGCCGGCCGGTTAGCTCCACAGGGAGTGTTTGAACATCGTCACTTTTTAAAGGAAAAGTGTATATTTTCTTACAAAAAATATTTTTAATTATTTACTTTTAAAATAGTTAATTTTAAATGATAATTTTTTGTAATAATAATGATTGATTTAAAAATTAAATTTAATATTATAACATTTAATAATGTTTTATCAATATTCAAGAGTTTAATATCATTATTTTTGTTAACTTTTTTAGGGTTCGAAAACTAAAAATTTACTTTTTAAAGTTAAGAAATCAAAATAAAATTTTATGTAAAATTAAAAGACCAAAAATATCATTTAGCTTTTTTAAAAATTATTTTTTCACAGATCAAAGCAAATTATTTATTATATATATATATATTGTAAATTTATTTTTAAAATCATGGTTTAATTTTAATCTAAATATCTCTATAGTTAAGAATGGGGATAAACAAAATGCTTTCTTAAGAAAGTGGGCATTTTTTTATTAAAATACCAGTAAAATTATTTATTGAGTCTATTTTTAAATTGTATTATCTTATAAGCACTGGCACACAATTTTTTTTTTGCTGAAATACAAAATATTTTTGACGAAAAACAAACTGGAAATTGGGAGCCAAATAATATTTTTCCAAAAAAGAAATCATATATAACTTAGTATGCTAAATGTTTTATAATATATTTTATTTCAAATATAAGTTTTTTTAACTTATTATATCTTACTAATTTTTTACCAGAATTATATCTTATTAATTATGATTGGGAAAAACTGTGATTAATTATAAAATTTCTTATAAATAAATAAATATGATCCATTGTAAAAGTATATATGTGTATAAAGTATTTAAATAAATATGATATTTTATAAGAGATAATATCATTCTTATAAAAGCACAATTAAAATAAATATTTAATTTTTCGCTGGTAAAATAATATTTAATTTTTCATATTTTTTGGTTATAATTTTAGTTATTAATTTTTCACATTTTAATTAAACATCTTTTGAAAAGATGTGAGTAAATTTAACCAAACCATGGTTTGGAGAATAGCTTTTGGAGAATAGATTTCGGAAAGAATAGATTTTTTGAAGAATAGATTTTGTGAAAAAGTGATTCTGGGAAGTGAGAGTGTTTGGATAGTTGTTACCAGAAGCACTTTTTACATATACAAATTACTAAAAAAGGCATAAGTTAATATGATAATTATAGAACAAATATATTTTATGATATATTTTAATTTAAAGGAATAAAATTGTTAATAATATATTTTTTATTAACATAATTAATAATACATAAGATAATATAATTAGGGTGTGTTTGGGTGATACCCCAAACCATGGTTTGGGGTGTCAATCACCCAAACACCCCCTCTAAAAACCAAAACCATGGTTTTGACTCCAAAACCATGGTTTTGGAAAAAGCAAAATTTTTTTGCTTTTGGAGAAAAAAGGGAGAGTGTGAGAGTCTATATGATATGTATCTTATTATTTTTTGATAAACATATTTTTTGATAAACATATTTAATCTTATATTTTATAAATATATATACACATTAATTATTTATTAATTATATTATCTTATGTATTATTAATTATGTTGGTAAAAAATATATTATTAACAATTTTATTCCTTCAAATTAAAATATATCATAAAATCTATTTTTTCTGTAATTATCATATTAACTTATGTCTTTTTTTAGTAATTTGTATATATAAAAAGTGCTTCTGATAACAACTATCCAAACACTCTCACTTCTCAGAATCACTTTTTTACAAAATCTATTCTTCACAGAATCTATTCTCTAGAATCACTTTTCCAAATCACGGTTTGGTTTCATCCAAACACACCCTTAATAAATAATTAATATGTATATATATTTATAAGATATAAGATTAAATATATTTATAAAAAAATATGTTTATAAAAAAAACAACAAGATACATATCTTATAGGCTCTCATACTCTCCTTTTTTTTTCAAAAACAAAAAATTTTTGCTTTTTCCAAAACCATAGTTTTGGTTTTTTTAAAGGTGTTTGGGTGATTTTTTCCAAACCATGGTTTGAGTTATCACCCAAACACCCCCTAATCGCGAAAGAGAAACCGGAAAACCCCACCCTTCTTTTTCATTTTGGACGAAGCTTTACTTATTTGTTATTACAGCTAAGAAACGCCTTTGGGCCCCAAAAAATCAAAAGGATCGGTGGGGCGCCCCTGTTATGAAAAGTTTATGACCGACCCTCTTGGGAAAAGTTAAAAACCCTGTACATTTAGTTCTTTATTTTCTATAAAGTTTTAATGTGATCTTTTAATTTTAAAAAATATATGTTAAGTTTTTTAATCTGAAAATCAATAGTCTTAAATAATGATTTTTTGTAACAATCATAAGTGTTTTGAAAATTAAACTTAATATGTTAGAATCTGACAATGTTTTATTAACATTCAAGATCTCAATATTATTATTTTTTTATTAACGGTTTTAAGGTAAAAGAGCTTAATATATACTTTTTAAAATTAAGGAACTATATTAAAATCTGTATAAAGATAAAAGACTAAAAATATATTTTAGTAAAAAAAAAAGTTAAAAACCCTAATCCATTTCCCATCCCTCGCTAATCTCTAGTATTTTTCTGGATGCAATTCTTTACATCTTACTTTGATATGATATGCTCCCTCTTATTGATGCTAGGAAATTGTCTGCTTCTCAGTCGTAAAGTCCTCATCCTGCCAACCTTATTATATTTGTTCTTAACTGTTTTAATGATTTTTACGGGTTGTGTTCCTGTGCTGTGAGCTTGTGAGTATACTAGGATGGATTTGAGGAACTTTAAATGTTTGGAACGAGGAAAATGGAGAAGAAGGGAGGTGAGAAAAAATTTTAAAAGCTAGATTTCAAAATTTGAAGAAATGGGATTGAAAATTTTTAAGTAGTTTTTATTATTCTTTTATATTACTTCTTCTTTTTATTAAAATTTTAAAACCTTGCTTTTTAAGTTTTTAAATAGAACTCATCGAAATTTTTTCTCCTCTTCCCTCTATTTCCCTCATACCAAACAATATTTAAATCAAAAACGCAGATTTCTTTTCCCCAAAGAAATGATTTATGGATGTGAAATAATTGAGATTGATTCTCAAGGTTCAACATGAAATGCTACAGTAGCAACAACAACAAAAAAGTCTTATTCCGCTAAGTGAGGTTGGCTACATGAATCACACGATACCATTGTGCTCTATTAACAACCCAGTCTTTAGATATGTTGTTAACTATGAGGTATCGTTCAATGACCTCATTGAATGTTATTTTCGATCTTCCTCTACCTCTTTTTGTAAAACTCCATACTGTCTGATTTATCCTCTTCACCGGGGCATCTAATGGCCTTCTCTGCACAAGTCCAATCTAATGGCCTTCTCTGCATATGTCCAAACTACCTTAAGTGATGTTCAACCATTTTCTCTTAGATAGATGCCACACCGACTCTCGCTCTAGTATTTTCATTTCGAATCTTATTTTTTCTTATATGACTACACATCCATCTCAACATCCTCATTTCTACTACCTCAACTTTGTGCTCTTGTTTCTCTTGTTTTTCCTTTATTGCCAAACATTCACTACCATATAACATACCTGGTCTTATAGCAGTCTGATAAAATTTTTCGTTAAGCTTCTCAGATACCTTCTTATCGCAAATAACTCTGGTAGCCTTCCTCCACTTTAACCAGCCAGCTTGTATTCTATAAGAAATACCTCTATCAATTTCACCATCCTCATGTACAATGGATCCTAGGTATTTAAACTTTAATACTTGAAGAATGATATGATCCCTTGTCTTCACCTTCAAATCACCATTGCCTTGCCTTAACCAAAAATTGCAAAGCATATATTCTGTTTTGTTCCTGCTCAAGCGAAAACCTTTCGACTCTAAAGTCTTTCTCCATAACTCCAACTAGAGTTAATCTTTTCTTTTGATTCCGTCACGAGGACTATGTCATCTGTGAAAATCATACACTTAGGGATTCTTTCTTGAATAAGCTTAGTTAGAACATCTAAAACAATATTAAACAAGTAAGAACTCAAAGAAGATCCCTGATGTGGGCTAACCTTAATGGGGAAGTCCTTTGTCTCACCTTTAGGAGTTCTTACACTAGTGGTTACCCTCTTATACATATCTTGTATGGCTTTGATATAAGCAACCCATATACTTTTCTTTTCCAAGACCTTCCAAAGTACTTCTCTTGGCACATGATTATAAGCTTTTTCCAAGTCAATAGAAACCATATGTAAATCCCTTCTTTGACTCCTATATCTTTCCATTAACCCCCTTAGTAAATGGACTGCTTTAGTTATGGATCTTCCTGGCATAAATCCAAATTAGTTCTATGAAATAGAAGTTTTCAACCTCAACCTATGTTCAATCACTTTTTCTTACAACTTCATCGTATGGGTCATAAGTTTGATCTCTTTGTAACTCGCACAGTTTTGAATATTTTCTTTATTCTTATAAATAGGAACTAAAATGCTTTTCCTCTATTCATCCAGCATTTTCTTGGAGCGTAAAATTTCATTAAAAGGTTAGCCACAATTCACCCTCCTTGCCTAAACATTTTCAAATTTCAAT